ATCGTACAAAAGGTACAGACATCGTACACGACATCGTACACACATCGTACCACACAGCGTACAGACATCGTACAGACATCGTACACACATCGTACACACATCGTACACACAGCGTACAGACATCGACAGACATCGTACACACATCGTACACCATCGTACACACAGCGTACAGCATCGTACAGACATCGTACAACACATCGTTACCCCAAAGCGTACAGACATCGTACAGACATCGGTACAGACATCGTAGCACACAGCGTACACACAGCGTACACACATCGTACACACATCGTACAGACAGCGTACAGACAGCGTACAGACATCGTACACACAGCGTACGAAGACATCGTACACACATCGTACACACATCGTACACACAGCGTACAAGACTCGTACAGACATCGTACACACAGCGTACAGACATCGTACACACATCGTACACAATCGTACACACAGCGTACAGACAGCGTACAGACCAGCGTACTAGAACATCGTTACAGCAGTGTACACACATCGTAAACAGCAGTGTACACACATTTCGTACAGACATCGTACCACATCGTAACACATCGTACAGACAGCGTACGACATCTTACACACATCGTACAGACATCGTACAGACATCGTACAGACATCGTACACAGACCCCTGCTTGTCATTTTGTGCTGCCCGGTTTTTCACTCTCTTAAGCTACACAGGATCAAACCAGCAACCCGCGCACTCCACTATATGCAGCTCATTATCACACTACCCTGAATCTCTCCAACAAATAACTGACAGCTGTCAGAAATATAAATAATGAGTGTACAGGAATCTGCAGTGTGAATAATTGGTATTTGCAGGGACGTGCTAACCATGCTAACCCATGTTAGATGAAGATAAAAACAGCTCATTACAGATCTGTATGTGATGAAGTGCAGGAGCGAACTGACAACCTGGAAGATTGTTTTTATTTTAGTAATATTTGACTGAATGTGTGAAGCCAATAAACTTATTTAAATTTTCATTTGATTTAAGTATTCTGCCATATTGTACATATGAGCTCTTTTTTATACTGTATGTTATTTCTATGTGTCATTGCACCAACTTACCGATGCACGATTCCTGATGTGAAAACCTACTTGGTGATTTGAGTGAATCTACTGAAACATCCCCCCCGCTTTAGAAGTGCCACATTCTCGTTTCACCTTCCTGTCCCAAACCTTTCAACGACATTCGGCACCTACCTTGCTGAGCGTTAGGTGTCTTTGCCGCGGCAGGATGATACCAAGGTGTGCGTCTCCGCGGTACGGCATCTCCAGCCAGCTTGCACCTTGTCGTCGGGGAAGTACGGTACTGAAACGGGTCTCTGGTACTCATGTTGACCGAGCAGGTGCGACTCTCAAGCTTGACCTGAAGTCTGAGGTTGTACACGTTGTCTTTGATCGAGACTTTTTTCCACTGACCCTGAGGGAAGGAATGAGAACACGTCAGCAAGAAAGTTCAAAAGACATAATTGCTAACCGCCATTATTTTGGACCGCAGTGGCAAGAATAAAGAGCCGCCGCTGTATCGGTGTCTCCACGGGGGCACCTTGAAGTAGATGGTGTTAACGAGGACCAGGTCGTGGTTGGAGTCCCAGAGCCCCGCTGGCAGCGTGTCCTGGATCAGGTTCTCCGTCTTTTGGAGATCCAGTTGTTGATGGTGACGGGCTTCTCCGGGTTTCTCCTGCAGCACAGAACCGGTTATTAGTGTAACTGTGGTCAGATATCTGATGTGTAAGAGATAATCCCTTCGAGGTGTCTGTAATCAGGAATGGACGGCGTGGACGTTGCGTCCCAGTTAAGGGCTGGGGTAAACGATTTATTTTTTTTAAACGATTTAATCGGGCGATTATTTCAGTCGATTATCGACTATCTAACGATAATTGGACATTAACGTTGAGTTATCTCACGTTAGAAAGATAACGTTAAAAGCTACCGTTAGCTAGATCAGCAGCTGGTGCACTTTGGATGGTGCTAGGCTAACCAAGCATCTTAGCTCTCCTCTTCCATGAACGGAGGAACCCCTTTGCCACTCGCGAAGGAGAAACACAAGCACATTTTTTTAGGACTTTTTCTTTTATTGGGGCTTTTATTGGGAATTCTGTGAGGAGGTTGCTGTTTGGTCTCCCATGTGTGTGTGCCGAGCTGTGGCGAAGCGTCAACGCAAAAATTTGACGTCAACGTATTTTTGACGTTGACGCGTCGCTACAGGCCTACTCCACAGAGTCCATTAGTTCCTGATGTAGGACACCTGGACCGACATTATTCTGCAGTGGTGAACAGCCAATGGGATGTGAATGTCAGATTTATCACATATTCACAAGATGTTTTCAGTTTATTTCAACACATTCATTTAGAACTAATTTCTCTGGACTCAGTCGGTGTCCTACATCAGGAAGTAATGCTCACCCAGCAGCCAATCAGAATCCAGTACTAAGACCATGGTGGAAGACCTGATCAGTTCTTTATGAGCCCAAAGTGGACTCGTTACCTTGAAGTTGAGCGGCAGCAGTTTGGCTCCGTACACCGTCTCGCTGATGTTCTGGTACGTCTCGTTAAAGATCAGAGATTTGTCTCCGAACAGCCGGTTAGCGGAGATCAGCTCCGTGGTCTTGTCCTTCTTCCTGTACAGACGACAGTTGAGTTTGGCGAAGAAGAAGTGGACCTGATCTGACGTCTTCTCTTTGATGGTGTCGAACTCAAACACCTGCAGACACAAACAGAGGCGGAGCCTGAAGTCGACAGCTTCCTGCCACTGAGATTAACGTGTGTGAACAGATTCTGTCTGACCTTCATGATCTGCTCCAGTGTCCGGTTGCAGGCTCCCAGTTTGGTCATGGCGAACGCGGTGGAGATGCTGATGGGGGACATGAAGATGTTGGAGTCGGGGGTCTTGCTGAGGGCCAGCTGTTTGTACAGCGACAGGGCGAAGCGGCCGTTGGCCTTCGACAGCTCCCACACTCGGGGGTTGGTGGATTCGGGGACCACCTCCGGCTCCGGGGTCAGGACCTCGGGGTCCTCGGGGTCGGGGCTGCGGTAGATGCAGCGCGGCTCCAGGGGAAGGTCTCTGGGCTTGGCGCTACAGATGTCCGGACGGGCGGCAAAGACGAGCGGCAGGAATGCCAGAGCCAACAGACAATCAGCAGCCCTCATTCTGGACAGAGAGCCAATCAGATTAATTAGAGTATTAGATTATTTATTATTAAATAATCAGGTTAATTAGAGGTGTAAAGACTCACTGATACGGGTCAGAAATCAGTTTTACGTTACAAATGCGACTACATCGTACGCAGACTGTTTCATATCAATATTAATATTTTATAAAATCTGTATTTGAAGGTAAACTTTTACTTTTATAGAATTATTTTAGTGTAGAATGGAAAATAAATGTCTACATTAAACAACATTTAAAAACTGTATCGGATTGCATCGAGTCGATCCATATTAAACCAGTGGTTCCCAACCTAGGGTTCGGGACCCCCACCACTAGGGGCCCTTCTTGATTTTAAAGCGTGTAAGAAAACTTAAAAATACACAGTCCAACTATATTTCTGCATCTGGTTAACTTCTGAAAAGAAAAGCTAAGTGTCTAATAGATGAGAAGTTCCTCCGGTTACTTTGGCCTCGCTTTAAGCCCCGCCCCCTTTTGAATTGACCTTTTACTACGAGACCACAGAAGAAGAAGAAAACAGGAGGGTTTATCTCCACTTCCTGTTACTTTCTGCTGTAAAGGTTCATTATTAGAAGGTCGGTCAGC